ATGCCGCCCTTTTCCCTGGGGGGAGTCAGGGCGGCTCACAGTTCAAAAGGGGTGGGGGAAGGACAAACAATTTACAACATAAAAGCTATATATTTCCTGTTTTAAGAATATCATTCTATCTGCTGTAGTTCTTACTGCCTCTAAACAGCCTCTAGCCCTCAAAGGATTTCCTTGTTCAGCTTTAAGGAATGGATTCTAACAACCTAGTGCTTCCTTTCCATTTCTGAGTTCAGTGAAAACTGCCCAAAGAAGCTTGCAAAAAGAAGACAAACTGAACGTCTTGGCTAGTAACACGGGAAGAGTGCTTAGGGTGGAATTCAGTCTGCACATTTACTGTGGCTTGAGGACCATTTCATCCAGTTCACCATTTTGTCCAAACTGTCTTGGAGCAGAGATGATAACAGTAATTATCCATTCAAGCTTGGTTTGGGAAAGGCCGAAGGACACTGTACACTCCGATTTGGTTATCCCTTTTGAGATAAGCTGTATTATGTAAAGAACTGAAAGAAAAATGCAAAACCCTAAAAACATATCGACACACTTCTTACTGTTTGGAGCCAGATAGAAGCTCCTATCAAGAGTGGCTGGAGCGGGTCAGCCACGGTTACGGAGCTCGTTTTTGCCCAGCTCAGGGGGCTCCATGCTACGATTCCAAGACCCGCCGGGGGCCGCTCTGCCATACTTGGCACCTCCCTGTGAAATCCCTCCCGCCGGGTGCAATAGCGGCAGGAGTAGGGCAGGCGAATTCGTAACGCTTCTGTCCAACCAGGGGCCCCAACCCCGTGGCCTCGACTGCAGGTCCTTGGCCCCAATCCCAACAGGACGCCCTGGTGGAATCTCCACACAGTCAACGAACCCAACCAAATATGCCAAGTGCTAAAGGCTGCTTCTCTCTTTCCCTCTCCGAGTAGACGCCCCATTTATGAGAAAGGAAGAGATTGCGGCGTCTCCCCTCCCCCACGTTTCCTCAACAGAAATTCTACGCACGCCCCCCCCCCTTCCCCAAGGCGTCGTCTCCCCGCGCGCCGTTTCCGACCTATTTCCACCACGTGCCGCGAACCACCACTGCGCCTCCTCCCTTACTGTTCATCCTCCGAGCCCGCCTCTCCCGCAGGTTCCCGCCAGGTCAAGGGTGGGGAGGGGGGGGCGAGGGCACGGGTCCTCTCTGAACCGCCAGACCCCCTCCCCACGACAGAACTTGTTAGCGCGCCATGTTGTATTCCCGTCACCCTGGCAACCCCAGAGCGTCAAGCACCTCAACCCGTGAAAACGACCTAGCCCCACCCTCGCAGCTGCGCGGCCTCTGACAGAGTGGCGCAAGCGCAGTTACTAACCTCCGCCCTCTCCTATTGACTGCGGCAGGCGAAGGGCAGGATTCATGTTTGCGAGCTTTCAGGATTGCGCATGCGGAGTGTCAATTTACTCCTCGCCCGCCGGCTCTCAGCCCCTCTCGGCTTTGCGCATCCTCAGTCGTTACGACCCTCTCAAGAGGGTCTCTAACAGTCCTGTGCCGAGTGCGGGTGTGCAGTACAGTATGGGTTTTTCTCTTAGGGCGAAATCCGCCATTGCTCTTAGTTAAGGAGGCAACAGACTTGAATATGTTTTTCCCCCTGAGAATAAGCCCTGTTCCAGCCACCCATTAAATAGTGAATTAACCCACTATGTTTTAGAGTAGCGTGGCGTGGAAATCGACCACGCTCCATTTCAGTCCATCATTTGGTGGTTGACAATGGTCAAAGAGATGAGGGTAGGGTGGGGTGGGGTGGGGCGGGGCGGTACGAAATGGCGTGGAGACATAACTCTCCTGCAGGTGTATTTCTGCATTTGGTACTTGCAGACCTAGTGCATCATATGTGCACTCCTGTTTTGTTATCCCTTTTGAGGTAAACTATGTAAAATGCAGGAATGGTCTATATGACAAAGGCTCGGAGAGAAGCAGAGTAAAGCAAAGCACAATCTAGTTCATACCAACCCCACTCCATACCCTTCTATTCTTGCAAATTATCCTTGCTCTCATATGGACATACACTTCATATATTGCCTGTTGAACCTCTTTGAGGATTTTATCAATTCTATCCAATCAAGTTTTTTTTCCAGTTGTCCCCTTCCAGTCTTTACCCATTCACTTTTCCTTTATACTTTCAATTTGCTATTCAGTCCTCGTTCATTTTCTTTATAAGAAAATATTTCTTTTGTATTGACTGCTGACTTTTGTATTTGACCTATGTTCATTCAGAATCCATTCATTCTGGACCCTACTGGTTCTTGTTTTACCATTCAAATAACCAACTCCAGTTGCATTCACCTTTTGGGACAACTGTCACTACTGAGTGGATAGAACCAGACTCTTACATAGATAGATAATTTTTATTGTCATCTTTTTGGTCATTTTTTACTGTGGGCACACTGGAACACATTAAAAATGAAATTCTGTTGCTTGCTCTCAAAAGTGTACACATATATGCTGGTAACAACATATAGATGCTACCATTATTTCCTTGAAAATATCTTATTTGGGGGTGGGGGGCTCTGAATAGACCTGTTAGGACCTATTATCTATACCCATACATATACATACATACATACATACATACATACATACATACATACATACATACATACATACATACCACTTTCCATCTTGAATACATATTGTAAAGAGGAAGCTTGAGAATTCACAAGGTTCACATACAGCCATTTTAATTTTTTCAACAAACATTTCTTACAACAAATCACGGGCTGCCCAATTTACCTTTTTATCAGTATTTATAAACCTTAAAAACCCACTTTTTCCCCTCTGTTTTTATAAACGTTCTACACTACCAACATAGACAGATTTGACTGCTCTATATTTTCACCATTTGTGTATTTACAACTGTTCACTCCATTTAACCTGTCAAACAGCTATCTTGGTCTTTCTATACATTAAATTACAAATCCATACCCCTGCTTGCATTGTACAATCTGTTCTAACATTCATTGCAAGACTTTTGGATTCTCAGGTAACCCCACAGTATTATCTGCATACAATAGTGTACAAATTAATATCTCTAATTTCATTATAATAATTTCTACTAGTATATACATGAAACAAGCAAAAGCATAGCATGCCTCTTTGCCTTAGACCCTGCTCACTGGTGAATCATTCTCTAAGCACTACATTTATTCTCTTTCATGTTTTGCTTCTATCATATCTGTGAATGATTTAAAACACAATTCTACATGAATTGGGCCTCATTCCGCAAGAGATAAAACCTGGTTTATCTGAATGAAATGAAAAGGGGAAACAGAATTGGCCCACTTAATACTCTGATGGAAGATCACCAGGGCATTAGTGTAAAATGAGAAGTGAAAAATGTCAAAAGCATTACTACATGTAATTATCAGGAATTGTACTTAATTCCCTGGTGTCCCTAATTCTCTGGATTTACTACAGATAGTTATCAATTTATGAGCACAATTGGGACCAGACTTTACATTGCTAAGCAAAATGGTTGTTAAGTGAATCACACCTGATTTTATGATTTTTTGCCATGGTGGTTAAGCAAATCACTGCAGTTGTTAAGTAAATCACATGGTCAATAAGCAAATCCAAGTTCTCCCATTGACTTTGGATGTTGGAAACTGACTGGAATGGTCACAAATGTTGATCATGTGATCCCCGGGACGCTGCAA